GATTACCCAACGGTGAAGTTCACTTACAACGACATGGATCCCAGTAGCATCATCCTGACATCATCGAGCCCTCGGCGGATTCGGGCAATTGTGGATTAGGAACAAATAGGCTGTTTGCCTCGCCTCTCAGGAGCCTGGGATTCGAAGTATTTGCCAATGATTCTGGAAGACGAGGAGGAGACACGTGATGGATGGGGCTGGTACTTGTAATTCATGGGTATGTACTCACTGGATTTTGCTTTATTTGGGCGTACGTCGAGGCGTGTCGAGGCAGATAGTCTCCCTATCTTAAAGTGGTCGGGATAAATGCTCAGGACCTATCCTCCAATATTTATTAGCTTCTGATCGCAACTCAACTTCCACTAGCGACGGCCTTCAGACCTTATGCTTATACAAATGATCGGTTAAACCCGAAAACCGGGTTCAAAGTAATGCCAAGCAACGTGCTCTTCTAAGCCCAAAATATGCGGAGTCATGCGTCCTGGTTTAGCACCTGAAGGCTCAACACCACATTTTCACGCTGACGGAGTGAAGGAAGTGGAGGACTTCATATTGCCGTGACTTACATTGCTCTGGTTAAATATAGAGGCAATCCTCAATGATGCATTTGTTCAGCAATTTCTGGAAATCGTCCGCCCGGCGATGATGCTGAGATCGATCATGTGAAGCTATTTGGTTCGCATGGTATCTGTTCCCTGTTGTCCACTTCCTTCACATTACTGCAGGAGCTCGACGCCTGTCGTGAGGTCGAATATATGAAAAGCAAGATGCCGACTGCGCTTTTCTAATTTCTTAATTTTATTGTATATAATAAAATTTTAAATGCCTAGAGTGAGCCTGCTGAAGCCACTTAATTTAGAAACCGGCGTGTGACACTTCAAGGGTATAGGACCCCAGCCCAGTCTCGACCTCCACATCATATGCAGCATGAGGGCGACTCCTTTAGTCCACTTGAAATCATGTAAAATCGTTGGCATTAAAGGCTTGGGAGGTGCCTTGCTTGGAAGGGGGCAATCGGTCCGTATATCTGAGAGCTAACACGTAGGTTAGGTGCTAACAAGCATCCCTCAAACGAAGAGAAGGGGAATTTAACCTAAAAGTTACCCAAAGTTAACCGTAGAAATATCGTCCTAGCAGCGAGCGACATGGGAAACAACTAAATTCTGTCACGACACTGAGCAAACAGAACGAAAGCGAGCGGATTCACTACTAATGAGCTGGAATAGAATTGGGCATGGTCCACAACAGTATAGTTCATAATAGGGTGAGGTAGGGTCTCCTGGGTCGGGGTTTAGATTTCTATTGGGGCTAGATTTTTATTAGGGTCCATGGTCTTGGCATTGGATGCAGTTAGGGGTTAGATTAGTCATTGGAATTATTACTACCAACTTTTTTTTTGACTGTACATTTGGTAGTAGTATAGCCATATTTAACCCTTTTAGAAGGAACTTAATTCTATTACATAATCGCAAATTCCACTCTATTAGGGGTTTTCAAAAGGCTCCTTCTACCCTACCCCATGTAATGGGCTAGAGCCCAGGTAGATCCTCGGTGGAACCTTCGGTAAGACTTCGGATCGGGGTTGAGTACCTCCGATCCTCTGCTAGGTAGAAAACTCTATCCGAGAGCCTTTCGGCTCCTTATCGAATACAATCCTGTTACCAGGCACCGGCAACCTCTGCGCAGCCCCTTACACCCCACCCCATTGGGATCACGCTAAACTTAAAGGGGGAAACCAGGCTCAAACCCCAATGGGGTCAATCCCATCCCATTATGGATCATAATTTCAATGACTAATCGGACCCTAATCAGCCCTAATACCAAAACCCCAAACCCCAATTAGAATCTCACCCCATTGTGGATCATAATTTAAACATACTGTAAAGTCATAGCCCTAGGAGGTCCCTGCCCGATACCCATAGTGAAGTGTATTTAACTTACCTCTCTGTACCTTGCCATTCAATTCACAACAAAAGCTGGTCCTTTTTTTTTTTTTGTTTTACGGCACCTTTAATGATGCCGTGCGAACTACGACAAGTGATATTGCCAACCTTGCCTACTAGAAGATAGGGGAAGCAAAACCTATTTAGTTTTATTTTTTTTTTTTGAACGCCTCCCCTGATATACCTCGCCAAGGAACAATTCTAAACCCTACGTAAGGCCAAAAATTCCATTGGGATAAGGGAGTTAAAACGCGGCGGGGTTTTCGAAAACGCCCTCCACTCTCTCGGGCCTCCAAAAAGAAAAAAAAAAGGAAACAACTCCCCAAAAAAGATATCCAAAGGAAATTAGGTTACCCTCTCCGATAGATCCCCATGGTGGAAGACTAGGGTATCTTTAGAGTGCTTTTCCCCCTTTCCCCTTATTCACCTTCGAACCCCCGGGGAGGGGGGGGGAGGGGGGGCGAATGCTTATGAAGACACCTGCATCTAACATCCCTTGTGATTCGCATCCTCCCTAATTATTTTGTACAGGGGAATACATAAGACTGTAAAACGATGGGTGGGCCGGACCCAGCGCTAGTAGTATGCATATTCTGATAATTTAATCGCTGAGCGTTTATCCACCTTTCACCTGGCGCCTAATAGTAAAAATGCAGTCCTCACCCTGACATGGGCTTACAACAACCTCGGTGTTGTCCTCCCTTGGAACCATCTCATGGTCCAAATTCCACCCTGCACGCCTGCAAATTTCGGTCACAATCGTATCGCAGTCGCCAAGCAAGTTGATGTCAAACTTGATGTGTTTAATAGGCTTTATAGAACGTCAGCGTGACACTGCCTTTAAAAGGCCAGTATTTAGGGACATCCTACGTCTCTAGAAATGTATATCTGAGGTACCCCATTAGGCAGATAGTGTGGGATCTCAGACACTGGGGCAACCTTCATGCTGGTCCCGATGACAATTACAAGGTCGACTTTGTCTTTATCGTAGGTCGTGATGCGGTTGAAGAACGTCTCAGGTAAGCCTTCGCCGAAAAAAGTGATATCTGGTTTCATTACGCCCGCCTCCGGGATGTTGTAATCGTCGTCATCGGCGTCATCGCCACTGTTATACCTGCTTCGCTTTCCTTTTCCACTTCCGTTTGAACTTCGCTTTCGTTTCAGCCGTCTTGGCCTCGGTGCCTGTAGGCTCTCGGTGCATCTCGCGCATCGTGAGACCCGCTGGGCGCGGATGTCGTCAAATATGGTTTCTCCGGGGACCTGATACCGACACTTGCGGCAAGTCGCTGTAGCAAAAGAGCCATGGCACTGTATTAGCTTCTCCGGAAGGATGCCTGCTCGGCTTTCGAGATTGTCGATATTTTGAGTGTAGTTCGTAAGTAGTTTGCCTTTTTGCTGGATAACGTTAATGAACTCATGCGTCGGTGACCACCGTCGCAAGTCTGGAAGAATATCCCCAGCAAGGGAATAAAAAGTTCTAAACGCCAAGTGAGCCCAGACGCACAGTTTCTCAACTGGTGCGTGATTGTGACATTTTTACTCACGTAGGATCTTCGTCAAAGTGATGAATGTCAAAAACGTCCTGCGGGTCTTCGAAGCCCATATCTTGGAGCTTCGAATAAAACCCGGTGTGCTTGGAACGGAAATCCGGGATCCCTAAACTTGTTGATATCTAGAAAGACGCATCGTGAGATTATTAAATTGTCAAATGGCTTGACGATGAGATGGGAATTGGATCCGCTCCTAATCGCGTTGGCCAAGGAATAGAGACATAGACTTACCCCAGCTCCCGTAATGACCATGATAGAATTTGACTGTTGTAGAAGCGTTGCCGCATCGTCAATGGTTTTGAATTGCGGAAGCCTTTTGCGTCCGCTCAGCTCTCTGGCAATAGCATGGCCGATTAGGCGGTAATATGCTTCGTCGGGTTGTCCGTTCAACCAAGCGGGCGGCGGAAAACCGAAAGCTGTGCAGAGTTTCTTTGCGGATACTCTCCCCAGTGACAGAGTTTGATAGATGAACTTATCTGCACCGACGTTGTGAAGGAGTTCGAGGTAGGCTCTTGCCTCAGCCGGAGTACAAACTTCCGGGCCTAAATAAAAGCCCCTAGATGAATACTAGGCTCAATGGCTTCAATGCATTTAGCGTTATAATACACATGTGCTTACCGCTCAAGCCTTCCAAACCAACCGTATCTTCAATCGCATCCTCATAAAGAGATGAATCAGTTTCCCAACCATCGCTATTTGGGTCCTCACGAGGTAATTCCCCGGGTGGTCCATCTTTGGCTGGCTTTGACGACACTGCACGACCGCGTCTACGGTCAATACGAGACGCGCCGCTATCAGACTCGTCGCCGCCCGAGGTAAGATCTATAGCGACAGTTGGCCCTCTTTTGGCTGTGGTAGATCGTACGGGCAGCAGCAAGTCGTCACCTGCCATCGTCGTGAATGAGCGCTTTGTTAGGCCGTGGTAATTGTCGGGAGAGAACTGGTGGCCCGTTGCATGCGAGAAGGAAAGAGCGCACCGAGCTGCCAGAAGCTGTAGTTTGAGCCCTTATCTAATCAGCGAGCGGCGAAATTGGGTGACCAGCGTAGGAACGGTGCGATCATTGGACCATCGAATCAGTTGGTAATTCCTAAATTGGGAAAAGTGCCGTAGCACCACTCTCTACCTCTTGCAACTCCTAATTTGGGGGTCTATTCTCCCCCAGCCTCTCAAGCAAAGTGATCCTCCCGAAAATAAGCATGCACTCTCTTCTTATGCTAGGTATCAAGTAATATCGTTCGAGAAATGTTTAGCTCAATCTGCCACGTGTCTATAGAGTAATTAGCAGACGTACTATTCTTTGCGCACGTAGCCCAATAGGCTAAGAGCGGCGGAGTAAACTCGGGCGGTCTAGGGTCTTGAATTAAATAAATAGTTTTTCAATGCTCACTAACAAGGTAGGACATATACTATAAACATAATTGACAACTTGCTTGGTCAGTGTAGAATAAGATTCAAAATAAACTAGAACAATAGATTTGTGCGGGGAGAAAATGGGCAAAAAGTTTTTGCTCCCTATAAGATTCGAACTTATGACCTTGGCATCCCTACTGTGCTCACATTTAGCCAGCATCTACGAGTGCCACGCTCTACCCCTGAGCCAAGAGAGCATGAACAATGTATATAGTGTGAGCTTTTTTTTTAAATATATAGTTGAAATCTAAATTTGCCACATTTTTTCGCGAATCCCTCATATGGTTAACGCGCTTCATAAGTCGGAGCTGTGAGCTGTAGCATCGCACGTGCGCACCTAGCTACGACATCAAGCATCTAGCGCGCCTGCTGTCGCTGTCGGCCCATCCGACAGCTCATGCAACCCGCCGTAGGCCGACAAACAGTATCCCACAGAGACATTCGCGGGAGCTTCCAATCGCCGACAATAATGCGGAGCACACGCCGCCGGAAGCCTCGCAACGAGATAACCGATGCCGATATCCGTTGCCTCGATACAAATACGACCTGGGAGCGAGTCCACAAGCACCCGCTTGGTTAGATGCACGACTTCCTCGCTTCTGAGACTTTGTCTTGTTAAATATGCTTCAATCAAGCCTGGCTGTTTTCGATGGCTTTCTGTTAAGCCACGATCCTGTTACCATGGCAATGGTCGCTATTGCTATGCTCGTTGCAGTGTTTTGGGTACGTACTTTACGAGTTAGCTTATGCCGACACGCGCTCAAAGATGAGTTCCTCTAGGTGACTACGACCACGGACGTACCATATATCAAGGGTCTTCCTGAAGTTCCTGGTGCACTTCCATTAGTCGGACATCTGATTCAACTCGGAGACGATCATGCTACCACTTGCGAGAAATGGTTTAGAGAGTATGGCTAGCTCTTCCCATGGCTATTACCGTGAGCTGTCGTTGTATATCTGACGGTACATAGGTACAAGTGGTCTGTCTTTCAAGTTCGCTTGGGCAATACAAGAGCGGTCGTGGTAAACTCCTTCGATGACTGTCGGAGAATGCTTGTGGGGCACCAGTCCGCCGTGATTGATCGTCCTAAGTTATACACATTTCACGGGATAATTTCTTCCACCCAGGGATTCACGATCGGATCTTCTCCGTGGGACGAGAGCTGCAAGAGGAAGCGCAAGGCTGTTGGGACTGCACTGGGTCGACCAGCACTACGTAACTATTTCCCGATGTTCGACCTAGAAAGCTTTTGTATCGTTCGCGACTTGCACAGGGACAGCTGTTCTGGCGCCGTGGAAATCAACATCAGACCATACATCCAGCGCTACGCTCTAAACACTACGCTTACCCTCTGTTATGGCATACGGATGGACGAGGTGCACGACTCGCTGCTCCGCGAAATTCTACATGTCGGATCTGCAATTTCATTGCTCCGTTCAGCTTCCGAAAACTACCAAGACTACATACCCGCATTGCGTTACTTGCCGGCGAACAATAAAACAGCACGCTCGAGGGAATTACGTTCGAGGCGCGATGCCTACCTCAACCTGCTCCTCAATAAGGTAAGAGAGATGATAAAAAATGGGACTGACAAGGTGAGTCATGATTGATATATTCATAGACTACTAAGAAAGTACAAGCTAACTGCTCTCAAAGCCATGTATCTCGTCGGCTATTCTAAAGGACCAGGAGACGAAGCTCACAGGCGTCGAGGTGAGCTCGATATGTCTTTCACTCGTTTCCGGTGGTTTCGAGACTATCCCTGGGACTTTAACCTCTTGTATCGGCTCTTTAGCAACGCTAGAGGGACAAATTTGGCAAGAGAGAGCCTACAGGGATATTGTGCGTTATCATCCGACCATGGAAGATATCTGGGCGAACAGTTTTCAGGAGGAGAAGGTACCCTACTTAAATGCGATCGTCAAGGAGGCTGGCCGCTATTACACGGTCAGCTCGATGAGCCTTCCGAGAAAGACCGTCACTGAGGTTGATTGGAATGGGGCAAAGATTCCACCGAAGACGATGATTTTGATCAATGCTCAAGCAGGAAATCACGGTTCGTAGATAAGAAGCTCGCCAAATTGAGTGGCACTCTTCCGCAGACAACTAACTGTCTCGCTAGACATGGATCATTTTGGACCCTCTGCCGGGAAATTCGACCCGGAAAGGTGGCTTTCCTTCACTGAGTCCTCTGATCAGCAGCCAATTGAGACTCAGTCGCGCGGTTTATCTCACCTTTCTTTTGGTGCCGGCGCTCGAGCTTGCTCCGGCCAGATAATTGCGTCTAGATTGCTCTATGCTGCGCTTATACGTATAATTTCGTCATACCGGATCCTTGCGAGCGATACTGATCCGCCAACGACGGATTATATCGAGTACAACCAATTCAAATCTGCTCTTGTTGCAATTCCGCGAGATTTCAAGGTCAAGCTAATTCCAAGAGATCCCCACGGTGTGAGCCAGTGCTTAGCTGCAGCAAGCGAACGGACGAAGGACTTTTATAGGGAGGTGTAGCCTTGGTAACCAGTTTGCTTGTTTCGTTGCAAGGATTGCCGGGTGTCGATGTATTTCTGGCTAGACTTAGAAATAGTAGACATCTAAGATTATTCTTAATTGTTCAGAGCTTGTTGCTGTACTAATGGTCTACACTGAATGTCGCATTTCCAGTGGGTTGAATTCAGAGCGGATCCCCGCGGAGCTTGAGCACACCGAGTTCCGAGCCTAGCCACAGCCGCCACAAGCGCGTCCGGCATGTGCTCGTGGACTTCCACGTCTTTTTGCCCCGTCCACCCACTGTTGGACCACGTTACTCTCTGGCTGCCTGAGCAATCAGAATCATGAACAAACCTATTGAGCAAGCTCTTACGAGCCTTATCCCTTCAATCAACGGACCTCTTCCTCCTGAACTTTTGACCTTTGCAGCATCCTTGCTTGCGCAATCCAAGACAAAAGCGCGAAACTTGAGGCCTGAGGAGGAGATCTCGAGGACCTATGCTTGTTCAAATATAGCTTGTGAAAGGCAAGTCCTTAACAATTTCAAATTGATAAGCTAGATTAATGACTCATAAATTTACCATCAAACGTATTAGACTGAAGCAGCACCTTGACCTTCCTAAGATCGAGCCACGTCCACCGGTTCCGCGCCGAATGTACAACCGGGTGTTCAAATACCTTGACAAGCAACTAGCCGATGATTCGCTATCCCGGCCGCCGCGCTCCACGCAGGTCGTGCCGACTCATCCAGGCTCCCGAAATGTTCCGGACCAGATGAACTTGTCATCTTCGCATCCCCGTTCTAGTCGCGCCTCGAACCGTCAAATCTTAGGCAAGGTCTCTGGATATAGAACGTGTGCCGAAGACCAAACAGAACGGAATGACTTACCGCTATGGGTCTTACGTACGCTCGGAATGTTGGGTGATTCTTTTGGCATACCTTCGGCTGTGCCTCACGTTCATGTTGGAATTTTGTCCGTGCTAGCTTTTGAACGGCAAAAAGGACATCAGCAGGAGTCAGGCCAATCGGTTCGCTGTTTGCGGAGGAGCCAAGGTACTTCTGATGAGCCTGTGGAGCCCATCCAAGAGGCCCAGTTGCCAGCTCTTGTCGTCACACTATTTCTGTACACACTAATCCGCTTTTCATCAACCAGCATATCTGCTGGAGAGCACGAGATGAGAAGAGATCAAGCAATAGCTGTTGTCGACGGAACGGAACATGCACCCAAGCTGACACGCGGCAAGATGATAGATGAGGTGGAATACTTTATCCGTCAGGCTCACCGCGGGTGGTTGGATCTTGAATGGTACAAGAATATTCCAGAAGAACCAGAAACACACAATGAGGGCTCAAAGATGTCCGTGCCTGACGACGGCAACGAACTGGACGTGCCTCAGATTTCTACACTCCGAGAACACCTACGGAATTCCCCTCCCTTACCGTCAGAAGGCGGCGATCTTCGAGCCGGTCTCGGAACAATGATGCAAGACAAAGTCGACTATTTGAGCAATGACCGACGGATAGATTACGTGCAATGGAGGAGAAGCATAATGAATCGTGTACGAGAGATAAACACCCAAAATTAATGCGGAGTCGGCAATCGAACGCGCTCAATTCAATTGACAGATCATCATTAGTATGTGAATGCATTAAATGCATAGCTTGCCAATTCTGTCGTGTTCGTATTCTCGGCAATCCTATATGGATTGTATATTCGACGGAATAAAGTATTTGTGCCCCGGCTTGACGTTTGGAACACCACCGAGTAGAAACGAATGTTTCATTTTGCATCAGCTATAGCCTGTCTACCCATACGAAAGTTAGAAAGGATATGTTCATGATGCTAAGACGACAGAAGTGTTTAAGCATCAACGATTGAGCAACATAGCATCGGCTTATAATTGGCGACATTAAGATTTCGTTTGCGAATACCATGTTGGATTCTTGCTCGCGAGGAAATGTACCGAGATTTTCAACATTTCAACTACGAACGTTTGCATATCTGTCCACGGCGGTACAAGGAAACGCCAAGTCTAGGGCACTTGATAGAGTGTATTGCACATTTTGGCCACGCCCTAGCCAATTGATTGAAAACTTCACTTGGTATACGGACGTACTAGTTTCTAGGCAAGGTAGGAACTTTAGCCACCATATCGTCGTTCTCGTACGATGAACAACGTGGAGGATGAACTCAACACTTCAGTACTTTGGGATGGAGAATCGAAAACTTTAACCCTGCTAGATATGCCTTGAGCATTGTCCACCATCATGCACCGTGTAGATTGGTTAGAGCTACTGTAAAGCAATACGTGGTCCGGTTGCCTGACAACCAATTCCAAGACTCCTTGGTTATCAATTACTCTGCGGGTTCAGACTATGCCAGAGTAAGCACGATGCCGATTTAAGAGAGGACGGACCAACCGTTCAAATAGTCTGCAGCCATCAGAAGCTCTAGGCACATATCGGGAGGTATTTCCATGTCGGGTACATCTCTAGCCATTTTGTGCTTCTCGTAGTAATAAACATACTCGCAGACTTTCTCAAGAACCACACCGCTATACGGGTGTTAACATTCATGACGTGCGTTGTTCATGAGAGGGTGAGGAGTGGCCTCACTTAATATTCTCGAATGTACACCTGTTGGAGATGGATTCAGCGAAATTGTCTGGTATTCAGTCTATGTCAGCAAAAGACTCAATCAA